GTTTGAGGCAGGTGTCTCATCTTAGCTTGTGAAGCTGTAAAAAGCCTCCACAGACTGGGCAGCAGAAGCTTCATCTTCTCTCAGTCCAGGCGCTGGAATTCAGGGTGCTGCTGTCTGGTGAGAGCTTTGCTCCTGGTTCCTGGGTGGCCCCCTTCAAGGTGTGTCCTTATGTGGCCTTTCCTCGACGCACATGCAGAGAGCGCTCTCCTGCCTCGTCTCATAAGGGCATGGATTCTGCTGGATGAAAGCCCCACCTTGTGACCTCATTTAATTACTTACCTAAAGGCTCTGTCTCTGAATAAAGTCATAAGGTGAGATTAGGCCTTCAATATCTGAATCTGGGGGCACAGAGTTCAGTCCTTAGTGGGTGGCCAAGGCAACAGAGGAGGTAAGCACAAGTGGGCAAACTTATCTTTGGTGACCCTATATCTTCTTTCTCTTCTCACACACAGGGAATGCACCCCCACCCCATCCTGCCTACACCTAACACCCCCCGACCTCACCCCACAGATCTTTTATTCTCATCAGGTCTGACTTTTTTTTAACAAAATGCCCAATTTATAAGCTAACTCAACCTGTAGACATATCTGTTATGGGAAGGAGTGCACAGTGTATGTTTTATCTGAATTAAGAGCCAAGATTTAAAAACAGGGATGTTTCAGATAGAAACCCAGACTTCCAGCTCCCAAGAACCAGGACCAGCTGGGTTCCCTTCCCACTTGCTGGAGCCGGATTGCCATTCACCTCTTTAGATGGGCATGAGCATTTCCAATCACTGCATTTCTTATCACTCTAGAATATCCTTCTTTTTGGGCCAGCCTACCCCATTATGTTGCCTGCTCACTCCCTGGGGTGTTTGAATTTGTATGCTTGGGTCCTTCTCTTTCTCTCTTATTGTTATCAGAAATTATTCTTTTCTCCTATATTTTTGCTTAAGAGGAGATAAAAAATGAAATAAGCCTATTCCAGATTAATGCATTAGTGGATATTAACAGATCAAAATACTCGGTGTAACTGGCTCTTCCTGCAGTTGCCATTTGAGGGAGGTTCTCTGGGTACAGGGTCCCTGTGGTCCTCAAATCAGATCCCAGAACTCTGGTTGGGCCGGCTGGAGCTGGTCCTAACTTCTGTGTATTCCTCTAAGAAGTGGAGTGGAGACCTTTGCTCCTCTTCCCTTGTGTGCTTGAAGACAGTCGGATTCAACAAAGCATCCGTGCGTCTTGGTTCTTACAGGGCAGGCCCTGTCTCACCATGCACCTCCTGTTCGGTAAACCTGAAACCCTCTGACTCTGTTTGACTTCACACACTTTAAAGGGCTTAAGGCTCCCCTGTTCCCATGGCGATGCTCAGACCCTCCCGAGGAAAGCAAATCCGTGAAACCCCTGCAGAGTGAGCAAATACACTGGTGCTGGCCTTGCTCTCTTCACGCCGCTATTTCAGGTCAGGAGCGCAGAGCTAGGGGGTGATTTCATGCAGTGGTGTTTGGAAAGTTCTTCATTATCTCCGTCCTGGTGATGTGTGAGTCACCAGATCCTCGTCTTCAGGCCGTGGGTGTGTGTCGTCAAACTCAGATCCCGGCTCTCAGATGTGGTCCCGAGTCACCAGTGCTGCACCTGCACAGCCGGGGACGGCAATGGGGGCATGACTTACGCTGTGGCACGGAATGGTGCATGTGCACCTGGCGTCCGAGGGGCCGGTGTGGCTGGCTGCTCACCCTGGGCTGTGGAAAGCCTTGCTACTCAGACAAGAGTGTCAGATTATATTAAATCTACCCTGTCCTCCTCCTCCTCCCTCTCCTGAGAATTGTCATAGCCAGTGCCACCCGCGCCTGCTGGGAGACTCATTTTGTCGTGTTGCGACCACAAGCCCACATCTTTTGGGGGCCTGCTGGTCTCAAGCATGCGACCAATACACAAGGTGATCTGTATTTTGCTTGGTGGCATTTCTTTGGTGGTGCTGATTAATTCAGAAAGGAGCCCTTTAATTGGAGCGGGGACAGCATCCCCAGGTGGGCAGCTCTGGTCCTGCACGGTGTCAATGATGAGAGCTTCCAGGGTAAGTCTTCTCACTTCTCAGCATCTTAATAGGATCAGAAGCATGAACAGCAGGCATTTTCTGAATCTTCCCCTAAGTTCTGCAAATACATGCATGTCAGGGTGGCCTTGGGCCCATTATGACAAGGGGTACCGTCTGCAGTGACTGTAGTACGCAGGACAAGACCACAGGAGCCCCCCCCCCCCAGCAACTTGCCCCATCGCCCCCCGCCCCCAGCTATCTCTAGGCTTTCTCAGGGGGTAAACAGCAAGTGCGGATAAAGCGAGGTGTCCATAAAGTGGGCAGTGAGTCCCAGTCTTTGCAGGCTCACACTGGTATCTTCTCTCTCCTCCTCGGGCCTTTGCTGGGTGTTTCTGTCAGTGAACAGGCTTCTTTCGGCATCATTACCCAAAGCACTTTGGCACCTAGCTTGGGTATTTTGTGATGATTTCAGTGTAGGTTGGAGGATTGTTTCGGGATGGTTTTGTTTATAGCAGCTGCCTCTGTGCGGTTGGCTTCTTCCAGGGGAGTGGGGGAGGGGCAGTAAACTAAGTGGTGCCCGAAGTGCCTGTTCATGCTTGGACCGATGTGGAGAAATGCCGTCCTCCAGACAGGGGGGTGGGTCTTTCTCTTGGCATGGGGACACCATGGATCGGTGCTTCCTGGACAGGATTTAGGTCCTGAGCTTGTTTTCTTGGGAAGATTGATTTCATCAGGTTAAGCTGCTGCCCTCGAGTCACTGAGAAGGACTATAAACAAAACAAGTGGACGAACCATTTCTATAGCCCCCAGATAACTGGGTGAGAGGGCCAGCACCATTCCCCTTCCCGATGTCCCTTTCCTGCAGCCCACTCTCCTAGGTGCAATGCAGAGAGAGGAGATGTCGATTGGTGGTGGAACGTGGGAGATGGGGAGATATAGGCAAATGTGGTGTCTGCGGTAGGGAAGGGATACCCATTTGAGCCAAGATCGTGTGCTCAGGGTTGTGTGAGAATTACTGCATGGTGTCTCCACGCCTCCCGGTCGGGTAGTAGGCACTTTTACATCCTTAGATCTCAGAAAGTGTGGAAGTGTCAGACAGCCTACTTGAGACCACGCAGGTTGCAAGGGGAAGACTAGAGGCTATAGTTCAGCTGTTTGACCTCAGAATCCATACTCCAACCCCTAGGACCTCTGAGTGTCTCCTCTGATCCTCTGAGATATGGCTGTGTTTGTTGACTGCCGGGAATCAGAAGTCTCCAAGGTCAAGACTCGGGTGTTTCGATGAGTACACCAACCCCCTTTAGATCGCCAGTGTTACGGAGAATATCTCCCAAGGAAGCAGTGTGATGGCCACATGATCAAGCTCGTTCCTGTAGGTGGAGGAATCATGGTTCCTGGAGCAAAATACCACTAGTACGGTGTGTGGCCAAGGCATGTGGCATTTGCTTCCTTGTGTTTTATCACCATGGAAATGAGGCAGGCACCAAAGAGTGAAGGAGCTCCTGCTGATGGTGGTGGAGTGGAAGGGATGTTGACCAAAATATGGGACCTGGGAATAGCCAGAAGGAGCCTCCTTCCTGGGGGAAAGTGTCTGAATCCACAGGACCCTGCCCCTCTCCTGTTGGGAGGATGAATGAAACAAAAAACCAGAGCACTCAAGGTATGATAAAGGAGAGTTGCCGGATGAGTTCAAGACCCGAGGGAGTGACCTGAAGGATGGGGTAACAGGGAAATGGCAGGCTTGACTGCTGGAGGCTGATGTGTCGCCAGACGCCTCCTGCTATGGCCGTTCGTTGTCTCTGTTGCCTCCTTCTTTTTCCTTTTGGATGGATGACCTCCCTTCTTTCCCCTTTGGGAGAACCCTCAGTGTACTTACTGAAGTCATTTTCAGATTGCTTTATTATTTTTATTTCCTCTGGAGTAAATGCATCCTGATTATTGATTTTATTGGATCTGTTCAGTACTGTGAGGTGTTTTTTTATTCATTTTTTAAAAATTGTTTTGGAATTTCTATTTTCAGACTTTTCTTTAATGGGGAGTTTTACCTCCAGCTTCTCTTTCCGTGCTCAGTCCCACCCACCCTATCTGACTGACCTCCTTGCAGTGACTACACCACACCCCAGTCTCGAATTAGGTTTTATTACCTAATTCCCCAGTCTTGAATTAGGTTTTATTACCGGTAGCTCAGTTCCCACACTAGGTGATATTAGGGCATAACCCAGGGCAGACACCGAGCCAGGGGGCTGCTCCCTCTGCTTCCCCAGGTGCATTACCTCACATAAGCTAGAACTCTGGGCAGACATCAATTACTTTCAGCTCTCTTTGCTGGCTGGGGGCTGGGCCAGCCTCAGGTCAGGCACTAAGCTCTGCTCAGATCTCTTGCCTCATGTGGGAACTCTGCGTCCCACATATACTAGAAAACCAACCCAACCAAACCTGGACTCCCAATTCTGTGCCTGTGTCTGGGTGGAGAATCTGGAAGGTCCCAGAGTCCTGCTTGCCACTGGGGCTCTAGCCATTCCTCATCCTCAGAGATTTTAACCTCATTTTTGAGCAGGACAAACCCTTCAAAATTTTCTCTAGCATTTGTTATGGGAATGTGTTTGGAGGAGTGTTTGTGAGGAAAGTGTCAGGTCAGAGCTTGACTTAACAAGATTGCCTCATTGGGATACAGATATTTAAAGCAGGTAAGGTCACCACATGTTGGGGTTGATTTGTTTGCTGGGAACCTCACGATGTACTTAATACATATTATTTCACTGTATCCTTGTAGCATCATTGTGGAGCACGGTTACTCCCATCTTATAGACAGGACACTCACGGCTCGGACGGAACAAAGCAGCTCGCCCCACATCACACGCTTCTGCACTGCAGCATCACCCCCAACCCGGGGCTACCTCCAAATCGGAGCTCTTAGCCACCAGGCCCTGCCACATCCCTAAATCCGGGGGGTCGTCTCACAAAGCTCTTTCCTTCTGTCCTAGGAAGATGCACTGAAGGATGCCGTCCAGCGGCAGCACCGCCTGAGACCACATGATGCTGGCCTTCCCGCAAGGGCCTGGCAGCCTGACAAGGTAAGGAGGGAGAGAGTGGCGGCGGGGTGGCAGGGGCGTGTCGGGGCCAGAGGACATCACATAATGCCACCCAGTGCGTGGGTGGCCAGCTCCTCGGTCACACCTCTTCTGTTCCTTCACGTGATGCCTGCACAAAGCACTCAGTGGTGTCGCGGTCAGTGTCCACTGGTGATCTCCACCTGGAAGTCTGTTGGGATCGTGTCCTTAACAAGGCCAAAGCAGACCCCTTGGTGTCCCCCAGACCTTCTCATTCCAGTCCTCCCCCAGCTTTTATCAGCCCCAGTCCGTGGCACTGCCATCCACCCACCTGCGGGGGGCAAGGTGCTGGGAGCCATCTGGATTCTTCTCTGACCTCACACCTGCATCGGGCTCGTCCACCAACAAGCCACGTCAGACCTCCCCTCCCCATCGTCTCCATCTCTGTCATAGCCTCCAGGCCACCACTTTCTCCATTCCCGAGGCCGAAAACATCGCTTGTCCCACCTCCATGGCGTCCTTAGTGATAGGACCAGCTGACGAAGCTCCTTGGAGCAGCCTTCCAACGCCTGCCATAAACGAGAGTGACGTGCCTCCCCATGGCACCATCTTGTTCAACCTGACCTGCCCATTTGCCATTGACTTGTGAGGTTCTGGCCACTCTGACGTTTTTGTCGCTCAGTCCACCAAGCTTGTCTCAGCACTCAGTAAGTTCCTCTGCTTAGAATCCTACCTTCTCACCGTCAAAGACCTGCTGCCTTCTTGGCACGCATTCCGAAGGGTTACCTTCTCAGCAAGGCTGTCCGTGGCTGCATGATATGTGCCCATTCCTCGCTCCTCCTTTGGTCTCCGTGACCTCACTGGTTTTGTCTTCTTGTATCTTTGATCACGTAGTCGATCACGCATCTGCAATTCTGTGTCCATCTCCCCACTGTGAGAATGCCGGCTCCCAGGGAGCAGAAGCTTTTGCTGTCGTATTCACCCGTGTGTCCCCGGTGGCCGTAACAGCCCGTATCGTAGGTGCTCCGAGGGGACCAGTGGGTGGGGATGACTGACCAGCAGACTGTGGTTGCTCGTTTCACAGCCACGCGAATGCATACCTCAAAGAGTTCTAACATCGAGTTCTAACAGTTCCCCCCAAAATGGGAACTTTCTTGATTTGACACTTACTTTTCTGCCTTCCGGTTGGCCAATTTTTAAAAAAATATGTGCTTTTCTGAAAATAACAAGGGTTAGTAAGGATGGGGAGAAATTAGAACCCTTGTGCACTGTTGATGGGGTGGGAAATATGGGGCAGCTGCTGTAGCAAACAGGATGGCGGCTCCTTAAAAGATCAAAAGTAGAGCGACCGTATGATCCAGTCCTTCTGCTTCTGGGTGGATACCCAAAGGAATGGGAAGCAAGGCCTGGGAGAGAAATCAGTACACCAGCGTCCCGAGCAGCGTCGCTCACACTGGCCAGAAGGCAGAAGCCGCCCAAGTATCCTTCAGCGGCTAAGCAGAAAAAGAGACCGTGGTCTTTATTTCCGATGAAATACTACCCAGCCTTCAAAAGATGGACATTCTGATACCTGCAATCACATGGATGAACCTTGGGGACGTTATGCTTGGGGACACAAGCCAGTCCCAAAAGACAGATGCTGTGTGCTTCCACTCGGGTCCCTAGGACCTAGATCCTCAGAGACAGAGAGTAGAGCAGTGGGAGCCACGGGCTGGGAAGGGAGGGCTAACGTTTCGTGGGGACAGAGGCTCAGTTTGGGAAGGACGAAGGGAACTCTGGAGATGGATGGAGGCGATGGTTGCACAGCAGTGTGACTGTCTTGTGCCACCAAGCTGTATGTTTTAAACTGGCCTGGAGGGCTCGATTTTAGGTGATGTGTATTTACACGATTTTCTAAAGAGCTGTGTGCTCAGCGTGTCTCAGCCCTCGGTGTAGTCCCTTTCCCCCCTCTCCCACCAGCCCCTGCTCTCTCTGTGTTCTTTCTTCCCAGATCTGCTCTTGGGAGAGGCTCTGATAAACTCAGTCCCACTGAAGCACGAATGCCTCAGGAGGCTTAGCGACTCCCTCTGCCCGGGACTATTTTTACTTAAGCAGGAACAGAAACGTGAAGTCGCGCTGGTATTTCAGGCAGCAGGTGCAGGCTGAGAATAGGGCTGGTGGGAGGTGGCTGCAGGGCCCGTTGAACCTGGGATGGTTTTCTCTCTTCTGCTCGCCCCATGTGCACTTCTATCCGCGCCCAGGCAGGCCTTCTGGGCTGGAGTGGTGCTCGCAGCTTGGCGAAGGCACTGAGATGGAAGAGAAGCAAGGGAGATGGTCCTGCCCGGGGGCGTCCGGCGTGGCCGCTGCTGGTCAGCAAAGGGTTAGAGTCAGAGCCCTTGGGCATCACCGCCCAGGCGAGCTCTCCTCTCCTGCACATGCTGCGTGGCTGTGCCCACGGGCAACCCAGCTCCCGGAGGACCCTCACAGAACCCAGCGTGTTTTCACTGAAGGTCGGAGACGTCTTCCTATGCTGCCTCTCTGCCTTGGCCTTTTAAACAAGGCTGTGAGGCCCAGCCATGAGCTTGTATTCCTTTCTGCTCTGGAGAGGTGTGTGAGGGCGTCCAGTGACTCACCCACACGGACGGGAATAGCAGGGCTTTCAGAGAGAAGGCAGGGAGACTCAGCCATGGGCTCTGCCCTGGCCCTCCTTGCACTCTGCAGGCTCAGGGTTTCTGCCCGGTGCCTGGGCTGGCTGCGTGAGAGAGAGAGAGAGATGGGGGCGGGGATGGGATGGGATGGGGTAGGGGGGGTGGAGATAGGAATAGGGATGGGCACGGGGCGGGGAGAGGGAAGGCATCAGAAACAGCAGTTCTCACCAGACTGTCCCTGGGGTGGGTGTGTGTGTCCCAGGGGGCATTAGGGGAGGCGAAGAGGCCGGGATGGTTCCTGTCGCTGAATTAAGTATTGACCTGCAGAGCACCGGATTTGTGGGGGGGTGGGCATCCCTACAGAAACACAGGGAACCCTCCTGGTTCTCAGGGTGAGGTCTGGAAGTTCCCAGGGCCCTCATCTGAGTTTGGCTTGGGGTTGCAATCTGCTTCTTAGGGGCCCTGATGAAGAGAGCGGCACTAATGACCCGGGCTCGTAATTACGGAAGCAGACAGATGTGTAGTCTCTGTCTTCCCTGAAGCTTGCCCGGAAACAATTGCCGCTTAAGGGTAAAGTCCGATGTGGGCTTCCGTGGAATACTGGGTCAAGCTCCCCCGGGGCAGGCCCCCCCTGTGCAAGGAAACGAATGAGCTGGGGACCCAGGACACCATGCAGAGAAGCTGTTTGATGTCCTTCCAACGGGCAAACCCCACTGTTAATTGATCTCAAAAAAGTCATTCAGGTGTCCCATTTGCCTGGGTCCAAAGGGGCCTGCGAGGCTGTCCCTGAACAGGGCAGCAGTTCCTGTGGTAGCCGGGAGGTCGGGGCACCTTCTCGGGGAGCGACCGCTGCCAGATGGCTCGGGCTGCTTTTCCACCTGCTGCCCCTGTGGCCGCCACCAGCGGAAATGAGAGGAGCGGCTGGATGGGGAGCCCCAGGCTTCACATGCCGCTGGGTCTGCGTGTGGCCAGAGGGTCCCAGGACAGCAGGAAAACCCGGTGGTGCCTTGTGCCTGCAGCCAGGTGGCAAAGTCCGTCACCTGTGACCCCGTCACCTGTGACCCCTGCCTGCCTTCTGGCCAGAAATGTGCACGTGGCTGGAACTCTGGGTCCGGTCCTGAATCCCTGGTATGGAAGGCGGTCGTCCCGCTCATCAGCTGATCTCCCTCTTCCTCCGAGGCGAGGAGATGACGGGCGTTCCTAGGGACAACGCCCGCGCAGGCATCTGGGGTCTGTTGGGCGAGGGCCCCTGGCTGGAAGGAGTAGACCCAGGCCCAGGGCTTACGCCTCTGTGTCATCTGTCCTTCCTCAATACAAAATCTTCTCTGAGTGAACGCAGCTTTCCATCGGTTGGGAGCAAAGGAGGCATCGTCTGGGCCCCTGATTTTGACCATCTAGGAACTTCTATTTCCTATCTGTGTTTTTTTGTGAGTCATAGTTTGTATGTCTTAGTGAAAACCTCTTTATGTCCTTTTTGCTCTCCTGAGACTTCTTTCTCCATCCCTGGTTCGGTTCCCAGAGGATGTTCTAGTCCAGTGCTGGCTGGCAGGGGTAGGGCTGGTCCTACTTCCCTCCTTCCTTCCCACTCCCACCCCCCAGGAGCGCTTTCTGCTGGTGGAAGGGACCAGCTTTGAGCCCTGGCAGGGGCGGCAAGGCCCAGGGAACCGCTAAGCTCCTGGGCCTCTCCACGGAGTCTCCTGGCGCCCTCAGGGCTGGGACGGCCTCTGGGCAGTGAGGGAAGGCTGAGTGCCTGGTGAGGGGCCCCCCCGGGCTTCTTACTTGGAGCCGTCTGCTTCTAGGAGGGATTGGTTGCTATCAAACCAGAAAGAACACCTTCTCTGGTTTGGCTGTTTGGGATTCTTTCCAGCTGCACATAGCAGGGACCCGAGCTTGGTGGCCTGAACACTCGGGGGCGTTACTGTTCTCCTGCAGCAGTATGTCCTGAGCCCGGGATGAGGCCGTGGCTCCTGCACCCACCACCCCCCAACCAGGGCCATCCTGCTTGGGCCATGACTAGTGTGGGTTTTTTTTAGGATTTTATTTTATTAGAGAGAGTATAAGCAGGGGGAGGGGAGGCAGAAGGAGAAGCAGACTCCCCGCGGAGCAGGGAGTCCAACACAGGGCTCGATCCCAGGACCCCGGGATCCTGACCCGAACAGATGTGCCACCGAATGAGCCACCCAGGTGCCCCGCGCCATGACTGTTGTGATCTCCAGGAAGCGTGACTGGTCCATCCCTGTGTCCTCACTATTACTACAAGAAGAGGAAGAGACAAGGCTTTCTCAGGAAGGGTTGTGTTTCGGAAGGGCGGCTGCCCTCAGAGATTTCGGCTCCGTGTCACACGGAGTCTCCACCTGGGTCACCAGGCTGCCTGGCCTCAAGGGTCCTGAGGCGTAAGTGTGGGCAGGCTGCGTCCCTTGAGGAAAAGAAGCCATCTGCTCACCTTCTCCAGCTTCTGGAAATGCCCACAGACCTCAGCTCTTGGGCCTTCCCCCACCCAAAGCCAACAGAACCACATCTTCAAAAATCGGCCTTTTTCTGACCCTGAGGCTCCTCTCTCCCTCCTGTGAGGACCCTCATGATCCCACTGGCTCCACTGGGACTGTCCAGGACAAGGCCCTTGACTCAGTCACCTTGGCAGAGTCCCTTTGTTGGTTCTGGGACATGGGCGTGGACATCTCCGCGGGGTCATAGTTCAGCCCACCTCAATCCCCAGCCACCCTCTTCACTCACCTCCCCTCACTGCCAACACACCTTCTGTCCATCCTCGGAAAGACCAGACGGATGACCTGACTCATTCTGATAAACATACAGGGGACACTATGGTGAATTTTTGGTCCGAGAAATCCCGAAATCCTGGGAGGAGATGAGGTCTGTTAAATGCCAAGAACTCCTAGACCATTCCTAGTTGTCCATACATCCCTACCTTTTCTCCCTCATCATCCTCCACTCCCCTTCAAAGCACTGACTTCAAGACCAATACAACATGGGTTTCCCCCCAATATCATCCCTTTCTCTTACGTTACTACAGTGACCTGCAGTATTTCTAGGTACCACAGCACAGCATTTTTGGCTCCATGTGGGGTGTGCTGGGGTTTCGGGCACCCACGTCCATGCTAACCATCCTGTGCGACATTCCTGAGGGAGAGTGGGCCCAGCGCCTGCCAGGGGTCGCCAGACACACACGGGCAGGTCGTTATGGTCCGTGCTGGACCCCAGCCCCGTGCAATGCTCCTGGGCATGTGATCTCTAGCTGTCCTGTACTCTTGGAGAAGGTTAATACAGGAATGCTCATGTTGTCCTGCCCGGGGAGCCCGAATCCCATGTCAGCTACTGGACAAAGCAAGAGTCTGACTCTGCTTCTTGGAAAAAACCTTACTTCTGTGGACTTTTCTTCTCTGCTGCTGGAGGATGGTTGTCTTTCTAGATTGAACCCATCAGAGTCCCAGGAGGAAATAGTGGGCCCCTTCCAGCAGGGTGGTGGCAGGGGTGGCCGTGGCTGGCGGGGCTGCAGGGAGAGGGTGAGAGGGAGAGGCTGTCCAAGCGCACCTGTGGCTGGGGGGAGAGGGGAGGACAGTATGTTGGGGTCCCCAAGGCCAGCCAGGTGCCATGATTTGCTGGGAAGACTCTTGGGGCCCAGTGCCCAACCCTGCTCATGGCTACGATCCATCAGGGAAGGACACGAAGTAAAGGCAGCCGAGGGAAGGGAAGATCCCCGGGGGCCGGCCTCCAGCCTCTGGAGCTTCCCGTGGGAGGGATGAGCTCAGTTCCGGCAGCACCAGGCATCACTGCATGCGTGAAGCGTTGTCCCAGGAAGCCCAGCAGAACCCCAGTGCCTGGGGTGTGATAGCAGTCGTACTCTCCCGGGCACGCCCCAAATCCCAAAGCCTCCCCGAAGGAGAGCAGGTGCTCGGCAGAAACCGCATGCTTTGCACAGAGTCTGGACACAGGTCGGCTTTCCCATCAGTTGGGGAACCGGGAAAAGGAATTGGACTGTGATCCAAGGTACCAGCCGCCCGCTGCTGTCCAGCTCTGCCAGCAGGCCGTTCCAAGGACGGCACCTTCAGGCCTGCCGAGATAGTGCTTCTGTGCACAGACCACCCCTGTAGGCTGCTGGTGAGGGCGCCAACACCAACCTGCCTCTCCTCCCTCCCCTGCTTTCCTGCCGGTGCCTCCCGCTGGCCAGACATCATCAAGAAGCACGGTTTGGGACACTGGCCTCCTGAGGCCTGGAACCCCACAGTCAGGGGTGGACGGTAGACCAAGAGGGACCAGCAAAATCCATCTGGCCGGGAACACAGCCGCCTTGCATGTGCCCGTCCTCCCCCGGTGTCTTTCCATTCCTGGAGCAGTGACTGCACCGGGCTCTCTTCCAGGCTCCGGTGACAGAGAACTGGGTCACAAGGACAAGTCCTGTCCAACTGGGACTTCAACTCTAATGAGGAGCAACCACAGGGAAATGTAAACAGCTACACAGATAGTGAGATATTCCAGACAGTGAGAAAGGTCTGTGGGAAATAAAGCATGGCCAAGCAGCCAACAAGTGGAAAGTGTTTGTCACCTGGAATGTGGCGGGACAGCCTGTTTGAGGAAGTGGCATAAATGATGAGAAGGAGCCAGACCTGCCAGGATTGGTGGCGGGGTTGGGGGTGGATAGGTATTTGGTGTGGTGCAGACAACATGTGCAAAGGCCCTGTGGTAGGGATGAGTTTGGATTGTTTATGAGATAAAGAGAGGACCAGGGCAGCCTGAGTAAGAGGGGTACAGGGACAGCAAGTCAGATGGGACAACTGGAGGACTAGAGGCTACAGAGGTGTGCAGGAGTCTGGACCCAGTTCTAATTTCTGTGGCAGCCACAAGAGGTTTCCATCAGAGGGAGCCAAGCCCTCATTTACATTGGGGTGCATGCTGACTGCTGCGGGAGTCTGGCTGCGGAGCCCTGGATGTTTCTCTTGATGAGTTAGAACATGAGAAATGATGGCTTCCAGCGAGCCCATGCCCCTAGTGTTGGGGTTCAAGTGTGAGTTCCAATAGATCATGACTTTTTCACCTGTAGCATTTGAATTTTTTTTCCACGCTTGCTGCCTAATGTTTCATGCTGGAGCAGAACGGCATTTAAATACTCCCGTGAATCAGACCTCTCTCTGAGCTCTTAATGACAACCTCCCCGCAACCCCATGCCATTCAGGAGCTCCAAGTGAGGGCCGTCCTTTCCTCCGGTGCCGCAGAAGCTGTCAGGTTGAACTCGTACTCTGTACACAGAGTGCTGGGAACAGAAAGGGCCTCTTTTGGAGCTGACAAATATGACCCGTGGCAGTCTGTTATTGAAGCCATAATTCATGCTGTAACATCCGGGGAGGAGGGAAAGAAATTAAAAGCTTGTGGTTGGGTTCAAATATGCCATACAGAGAAAACGAATGGGGAGGGAACCGAGGTATCGTCCCTCATCAGTCACATGTCCTCACTGCTTTCAAAGAAGCTGCAGGAGAGAGATGGAGAGTTAGTGGTGCCTCCCATCTGAGTTCAAAACCTGGTCCTGGGAGCTGTGGTCTGAGGTTATTAGAACATCCATCATCCTAAAGCACACGGAGTCTTGTTGCCATTTATTCCATGTTTAAGACAAAAGTGAAATTTTTAGGCAAAAGAATTAGTATCCTGGACAATTTGGGTATCACTCATATGTGTTAGGGTTCTCTGTTCAAAGACACAGGAAATGGTCCAGAGTGGTGTGAGCAAAGAGAATTTATTGGCCTGCATGACTGGCCAATTACCTTCAGGCACAGTTTGATCTAGGTGCTCAAATTATGTCCCCAGGATCCTGCTTCTCCCTCTGTGTCTCTTGATTCTATGTCCATTGTGTTGGCTCTCTTCTCAGTCAGATGACCTCCTCATGATGGCTCCAGCTCCAGCCTTATGTCCTCAACTTTCCAAGTCCAGTGGACAAAAGAGGGAGAGAGTCTTCCCAGGCTTCTCTACCAGCCCAATGTCTCATTCTCCGTGGATGCAACTGGGGCTTGGGTCCCTCCCCACCAACCACTATATCTAGGGCATGGGATTGTGCTGATTGGCCGGGCCCGGGTCACGGTCCCTTTCCCAAGCCAGTCTCTGTCTCTGTGAGTGGGGAGGCCGGAGGAGAAGGGGATGCTGGGTGCTGACTGTCCACGTACATTCATCCGAGCAGGACTGGACCCACCGCGGAGTCCACAATCCAGGACAAGGGAGGGAAGGAGTCCCCAAAACCCTGAGGAGGAAGTGGTCGATGCCAGCTGGGGCCAGACATGCGTGCTGCTCTGTACGTGCCATCAACAGCCCCCTCTCTCTGCCCTTGCTTCCTGTAGGTGAGAGCGGAACATGCCTGCCTCTGCCACGCACTCGCTGTAGTGACCAGAGAACGCGACTTGGCCGTGAAGGAGAAGCATCAGCTCCAAGCCAAGCTGGAGAACCTAGAACAGGTCCTCAAGGTAGGATGCGGGCACCCCGGCTTCTTCAGGGCTGGCGCGGGGCGAGGGGCTGCGGGACCACAGAGCAGAGAGGGCTTGAGGTTCTGATGCCATCGCCCAGATTTAGGGTCCTTGGGCCTGTCTGCACCATGAGGATGGTATCAAAACGATAAATACCAAAATCCAGTTGTTTCTGGAAGCCTTCCCATGGAGCTGTTCGTGCATTCCCATTTCTCAGGATGTGAAATGCCTCTGAGAGAGAGCTGGCGGGTGGGGCTTGGAGTGGGAACGGGGTGTCCTCCCGCTGAGGACGTCTACGTGGGCTTCTCACACCTCGTGAATTTTAAACTGTTCCTCACCTTTGTTAGAAAGAGAAGAGCTAAGTCAGAAGGTTGCTTCATCAGGGTGCAGGGAGGCCCTTCCGGCATTTCTGAGGAGCTGGGCTCCCCACCGATATTTAATGGGGGTTGGAGTTGACTGGCTGCTGATGGCATGGAGTCCGCTGAATGAATTCTCATTGAAGAAACATTGTTTTAGACGTGGGAGACTAAATTAATCATCACCTCTGGTCCCATAGTGTGGTACCAACAGTGAGTGCAGCAGCCACGGCCCTCCCTCATCAGGGACCGTCCTCCCCTTGGGGGAAACTGTGGGTTCTTGGAGGGATGCAGACTTATGGCTGGTGGGCACTGGAGTGAGATGGGAATGCGGAGTGACCGCTTTGCTTTGGGGCGATGGAATGTTCTGGAATTTGTGTGATGATTATATACCCTTGTAAATTACTGAAACTTGGGCTCTGCCTATGCCTCCTGTGATCTCCTCGAAGCAGGGCCCAGGCTGGACCTGACCGCCCTGCTGTCCACCGTTTGCTCTGGATTTAGAATAGCACGGACAGGGATGAGGTCTGACCACGCAGTCATGCGTTTCCGCAGCGCACAGACGACCGTCTGAGCTCCCTGGAGGCACGGAGTGTGGCCGTCCCACCCTGCTGTCGGAGCTTGGGACGACGTGGGTGTTGTGGTGCATGGGTGGTGGGACCAGCCCGGTCAAGGGAGGTGGCCACGTCGGAAGCAAACGTGGCTCTTCCTCAGGGGTTTTGACCAGGGAGGAAAGTGAGAGCAAGAAGAAATGGGAATTCAAACGGGTTTGTCCTTTTCACGGGGGTGGCTCTATGGCCAAGAAAGTGAATGTCCGGCAGATTTGTGGAGCCTGACGTGACCTGCACGTTTTGCACATGGGCGGGGAAGTGCGGCACGGAGGAGGACGGGCCAGGGCGGGGGCTGGGGGGGCTCCCTGTGTCTCGGACAGAATCGCCCTCCAGCATGGTGACTGCGTGATGCACACACGTCGCCTCCACTGGTACCGACTGAAAAGCACCGTGATTTTCATGCTGCTGCTATCATTTTTGTTGTGATAATAGAAGGGGTATTCAGAATTAGCCTTTTTTGTTATCTGGGTGGCAGAGCTCATCAGTGGTGACTGCCGTGTGGGAGGGGAGGGGCCCAGGTGCAGGGGAGGCAAAGACGCTGACCTGCCAGCCTGTTCGGGGGTCGAGCCCAGCCGTCCACCCACAGAACCACACCCATTGCTGGCTTTAATGGAATTGCAAACAGAATGTATTTGTTTCCTTTCAAGATCTAAAAGCTTTTAGTGAAACACCTAAGATTGAATTTGGGGCTGTTTTCTAAGACAATCCAGCTAGAAAAATACTGAAACTGGCTAGAATCCCTGCCCTCTGCCCCCCACATAATCCAAACCAATACTGTTTAACCCCATTGACATCCCTCCTGGTCTGCAGACTTTTAAAGCTAGTAACTGATGACTTCATTATGTGTCTTTGTGTTTTTGTCACCCTTCTTTGGGAGTCTGTGGTCAGACTCCAGATGCCGTGGCCTGCGTGGGATGAGGAAGGGCAGCCGGGGAAGGAGGACCCGCGCGGGGCAGGCAGTGGGCTGCCGGGAGCATTGACGCGGGCACTGCATCCGAGGTGCCCACGGGGCCTGAGTTTCCTGGCAGCCCGGGTGTAAAGGGAGATCCAAGCAGTTACTTAACTCTGGCTCCCAGAGAGAGGGGAGCTGGTTTTTCAGGAGAACACGGCATTTGCACGCACTTGTCTTGGTGTGGGAAACCCCTCTAACTTAGAAAGACTAGAACTTTCCGTTGGAGACACAGAAGATCCATATCACAGCGACTTCTGAGGATGCCCTCTCTCTGGGCTACTCTGTGCCTCCAACCTTCGGGGGCTTTTTCTCCAGGAAGAAGGGCCAGTGGCTTTCTCAGCCCCTTCTTGCCCTGCTAGCAAGGAAAACTGTTGAAGCTGGATTGCACTGCAAGAACCCAAGAAAACTTCTGCATGGTGGGAATTAGAGAACCGGAAAAATAATGCTCAGACCCATTCCTGGTCCGTGGAATCTAAAATGACCAAGAGACGGCAGAACGCATAGAACCCTGGGATCTGTACACTGTGACATGGCACAGGCAGCCTCGTGCATGCTGGCCACAGCCCCGGTGTCCGCATCAGGGACACGGGCGTACTCGAGTGTGTCTCAGCAGCGTCTACACTGATGAGACACACTGCTGTTCCCGAGTCCCCAGGTGGCTGGTTGTAGGACAGTTTGGCCCTCTGTCCAGCCACAGGTGTTGGTTGAGCACTGACCTCCTGCTACTAGTCCAGGCCCGGTGGACAGTGCAGTCGGTGGCATGGTGCACAGAGAAAGTCAGCAAAGACGAAAACTGACGTGCCTGAGACAGAATGTTAGGGACCCTGAAAGGACACGGATGGGGGGAAGGAACAGGAAGGGCTGCAGTGTCTCTGTGGGGAGGGACTCTCCCAGACATGCCCACTGCACAGTGGCGGGGGCTTGTCAGTACTCAGGGGAGCAGTGCTCTAGGCAGCGGGGAGCACAGGTGGCTCAGTGCCTGAGGCAGGCCGTGTGCAAGGACCAGCAGGGGGGCCACCTGGCAGTGGGGGTGGGGTATCAGGTGGAAATGCCCTGGACTGGGGTTCTCTGGGGCAGAGTCTCACAGGACAAAGCAGAATGTGTTCTATGGGTCCTTACACACCGTATTTGTCAGGAATCATCACAGTACTGCTGCATAACAACCATCCCCACAGCCGGTGGCTTGAAGCAGTGGCCCCCGCATTGCTCAGGAGTCTGTGGGCCAGCTTAGCATAGCTTGTCATCTTGGCTGGATGCGGCTGAGCACTTGCTCTGGGCCCGGCCGGGGGTCCCGGAGCCGGCTGGCTGTGGGCTGGCATCTGATGGCTTTGTCAGGGGGACTGGCTTTGTTCCTCATTGCTCTGTCCTCCAGCGGGCTGCAGGAGCAGTGGGGTCCTCGCCGAGCTCCGGATCAACTCAGGCGGGGACTCAGAGTTGGGGCACACAGTGTGGTCAGCTTGCGGCCGGTGCTGCGGGAGTGTGGGCATGCTTCCTGTTTGTGAAGGTCACACCGGGGCACACCAAGACTGGCGTGAGGAGTAAGGGGACCCACGAGGGTTAGGGTGGCTTCCATGGGGGCTGCAGGGGAGAGCGAGAGGTGGACATTTTGGGGGGCTTCCAGGGGGGAATCAACACAGTGTGCTGAGGCCTGGATGTGGGGCATGGAACTAGTGACCACTGTGGTGTTGAGGGTGACACCGAGGGCCAGGCTGTGCATTCCGCTGCGATTCAGAACATCGGCTCTGTGGGGTCAGGGGTCAGGATCACCTGGCTGGAGGTGGGGTGCACTGTGACCACGGGATCCTCTGTGCAGAAGGAGCCTCTGTTCTCGTTCTGGAGACCATCCCACTAATAATCATCAAGAAGGTGGCTCCGTTCCATTATAGATGAGGCGTGAGGTGGAAGGGATTCATTCAGGGTCAAGGGTGATGGTCAGATGCAGTCACAATGTCTGGTCACTGGGTGGTCTGGCAGTCACAGCTGACTAAATTAGATCACTGCGTAGCTGACGCCGTTGTCCAAGCTCCCGAGTGAAGGGGGGCAGAGGGGACACGACGCTCTGCAGATGCAGCACGCCCATTTTATGCAAATGAGGGGTGACCACAGCCCCACGCTGTGCCAGCGTGCATTTCAGGTCAGTCCCCACCGATAATGAGTCTACCGGTCACATTCATATGTTGGCTTTTGTTTCCAAATATCACTGAGAATTCAGTCTAGCTCAGGATGCCGTGAGGCTTGCCTTTGATGGTCTGTAACGTGTTATGTAAATCACGAGTCCACCGGCACACGGTTCCTGCGGAGGCCTTCCCGCCATATCAGGGGACTCGGCGCCTGAGCAGCCAGAAGAGTGGGGCCTGAAGGCTGATTGGAGGATGTGGGGTTTCCGGCACCTTGGACCCTTCCAGAGCTGCTGCCTTGGCCTGGAGAGAGACCAGCGAAGCCCACATCTAAGGGCACCCTGTACATCCAGTGTATTTAATGAACACCTAACATGAGCCAAACTCTCTAGGCACCGGACAAAAGTGACCTAAGTCCACAGCCTTATTCACACCAAGTTAGCAAATTACCGCACGTGTCAGGTGGTGACAAGTATAAGGGGGAAAGGTGCAGGTTCTTCTCTGTGTGCAGTGCTTGGGGAAAGCCTCCCGGACGGTGGGACATCTGGTCGGGGACCCGGGTGCAGGGTGCCTGGCATGTCTGAGGAACATGAGGGGCCAGAGTTACAGAAACAGGAAGCAGATGAAGTCAGGAGGACAGGAACCAGGAAAGGTCAGGTCTTGCAGGCTGAGCCCTGCTGGACACCTCCCAGCACTTCCCATGGGTGTGCTCCCTCCAGCCCAGGGCCTTTGCACTTGCTGTGCCTCTTGTCTGATTGCTTTTGTCCCAGTCACCCTCCAGGAGACAGTGCGTGCCATGGGGCAGGTCCCGTATCTTCTCTGCATGTCCATATATGCCCAGTGCTCACACAAGCATAGAGAAACCATGTAGTAAACGTGGCTGGATGATGGGCATAGGATACTCCTAAGTCTGCCCTTGGAACTAGTCACTTCCTAGTGACCTGCTCACTACAGCTGCTCAGCT